CCTGCAGTTGGATGGCCTCGGGATGTCTGCCTGGGCCCCTCCCTGTCGCCAGCTCAGATGGGTGTGCTGCATCAGCAGATTGTTCTGGGGAGCTCGGATAGCAGGACAAACAGAAAGAAAACTCTATTTGTCAGTATTAATTTTTTTATTTTAGCACATCTTCAGGTTATTTTCTCTTTTAAGTCATGTTGAGACCGATAATAATCAACTATAAAATTTTAGGTTTTTCTGAAGGGGATAGTGTAGCCTTATACAGTAGCTCAGGGAGTGAATCTGAGGACTTCTGATTCCTCAGGCCAACGCTGAAAGACTTGCTGATATCTGGACAAGTTTTATAAACTTCTCTATAGCATGTTTTACAGACATTAAATGTTTGAGTTTTTTTTTAAGGCATTTACGTAAATGTTGCTATGTCCTTTTTAGTGGTGGGATTCATGAAATGTCGAGGTGTGGACTCTGCAATGGCCTAGATCCATGGATTTTCTTGGGACTGGGGTAATATTAACGTATAGTTGTTATTTAGGTTGAAAACTCTTTAATCACAGAATCACAGAATCACAGAATAGTAGGGGTTGGAAGGGACCTCTGTGGGTCATCTAGTCCAGCCCTCCTGCCGAAGCAGGGTCACCTACAGCAGGCTGCAGAGGACCTTGTCCAGGCGGGTCTTGAATATCTCCAGAGAAGGAGACTCCACAACCTCCCTAGGCATCCTGTTCCAGTGCTCCGTCACCCTCAGAGGGAAGAAGTTCTTCCTCATGTTCAGACGGAACTTCCTGTGCCTCAGTTTGTGCCCATTGCCCCTTGTCCTGTCACTGGGCACCACTGAAAAGAGCTTGGCCCCATCCTCCTGACACCCACCTTAGGCTCTAACATTGTCAACACTCACCTACTTGTGTAGAAGTTTGTAGTATTGCAACATTAGTTGATAGCTTGTGGAGGGAGGATTAACAAGTTTTCATAACTAGCTTACCTTCGTGGAAAAAACACTCCCTGTACATCCTGTGCTAGCCACTGCAATTAAATGAAATTAATTGTATGAGCGTGTAATTTGACAACTTCAATAAGATTACTGAGCATGCAATTTGCTTCATTTTTTATTTAAATCTGTGCATAATATTATTTTCTCCTTAAAATATGCAACTGCCCCGTATTAATGTAAACCAGCCTACAGATAAATATCCATGGAAACCAGTGGGAAAGTGTGAAACTAATAAAATCAGTTCCTAAATATTACTGCTTTCATTGCCTGTATTTTTCTTTCTGTGCACTAGCAAAATCTGATAACAATTCAAAATATACTAATATATTTCACACTAAAATAAGTACCAGCTAGATGATGATGTTTACGTCAGTAGCTGTTTGGTATCTCATCATCTTAGTGAAGGGTATTTAATGGCAAACCTGACTGATAAACTTATTTCTATAGCCTTTTAAGTGTGGAAACAAGCATTATGCCTCAAGAATATAAAGGATTTAGTAATGAAGTCAAAACTTATGTTACTGAAAGATTAGATTTTCCCACTGGTCCTTCCATTTCTCCTATTTTTTTTTTTTGATGAAGGTTTTGTGATGAAGATGAGAGATTAAACAGATGCACTTTTTACTTAAGAAATGTGACCTCCTGTGTATTTCTTGGAGACTACCAAATATGCTTTTTAGCAGGCTGTCTTGTGTCGTAGGATTAGACAAAGGCTTTTTAACAGTTTAACACTGAAGTTAGACTTTCAGTCTATTTACTCTTTTATTTAGCACATGCTTTGTCACAATTCAAAGCTAATTTTAAATAAAGGTGAATTAGAGTAAAACTGTACGACCATATTTGAATTCTGCAGATAGGTGGTGATGGGTATCTACAGTATATTCCTCTTAAAATAATTCTGATCAGAAAACTCAAAAGTGACTGAAGTGAGTTACTTTATTTTATATGAAAATTGCGATAATGATTCTGAATAACAGTTCTATCTTGCTCTAATGGTTTTAAATGTTTTAGATTCATTTAAATCATGCTTACGATGCCATAAAATGATTTTCATGAGGTTAACAAAATGCATTTCTCTGAGTCACCTGCCACTCTGCCAAATGTCATATCTTTTCATCAAAACATGCTAATACTAGAGTCGTGTGGTGAAGGAAAGAACCAGAATTATGTTACATAGGAGGACAATAAGCTTTTCCCTTTGTGCATTCTGAAAAACAGCTAAAGTGAGTTAGCTAAAACTCTCCAGGATAATTAAACTTGTATCAGATGCTTAACAGTCGGAACCACTGTAATTTGCTTAAGTGGGAAATATTGTGGAACCCTAATACAAACTTGTGTTTGCATACAGTGCCTGGAATTAAGCTCTTTGCTGAGTATACTGAATGTTTTGGAGCAAGAACCAACCCCACTGCAGTGAAAGGATGTTTGATTTACAAGGGAGAAGAGAACAGCCCCCCATATTTCACTCTGGAGAGAACACTGAGGAAGAGCACTCACACCTTTGCGTGTTGAAGTAATGCAAATAGGGAAACTGTAATATGTTATAAATGTCTGAATCAAGAGACAATTTGTTTCAATTGTTGGAACTGTAGCAGAATAGCTTGGCTATTTCAGTTTGGTCAAATTGTATCTTACTTGAGGACAAAGTCCCATAACCTTTTTTGTAAATTAGGATATACTTTCTATGGACCCTAGTGTACGTGAAGCATAAGCAGTGGATGGAATCTGTGTGGGTTTAGTTTGAATAGGCCCTGGATGGTGAAGTAGTAACAATGGTATAGTATTTGATAAAAAGTTAAAGAATAAATGCCCAATGTTGTTAATGTCTATTAATAATCTATGTAATCTCTTTTGTTTGTGTATGAGACAGAACCAGAAGGAAAGGCAGGCATGGGGATGAAGGCAGGGTCTTTCTGTTGAGAGGTTCAGCTTTAAAATTCTGCAGTCTGAGCAGATTAAAATCGGAGAGGACAATTGCGTGTAATGTGGTGTTGAACACTTGCTTGCAATGTAGTCATCTCTGCACACCAAAGGATTTGTACAGAACCATGAGGTGAGTGAAAATCGTTTGAAATGCATTGAAGCAGTTTGCTGTTTTCACACAGTTACACTGGCAGCCTTAATATGCAAAACTGCCACTGAATTCCAGATGGCAAGATACTGCCGCACAAGCTGGCTGTGCTGCATGAAGACAGTTTCACCCTATTTGCAAATAGGCAGAATTAGAGTTGACCATTCAGCCTGAACTACTAGGATTTCCTGCATGAGTGCATGGTTTTTGAAGCTTAACACTGCACTGCAGTAATGCTGCACTGTAGTATATTTAGTTGATGGGTATGACTGTTCAATAAAAAATATAAAAATAATTATGTTAACAATAAAGTAAATTTAGTGAGAAGTTTATTAAGCATATGCATATTCATAGGGTTCAATATACACACTAAATATGCAAGTTATGTAATTTGTATTACTGAATAGCCTTCTAAAAAAACTGCATGAGACTTTAATGGAAATTTGGTATAATTCAAGCCGTTTCTGTGTGAATGTAACAAAGCAGACATTTTAGAAATACCCTACTGCATTTTGGTTATCACAGTCTAGTTTCACAGTACAATATAAGCTTTTCAGCCTGTGAAATCCATTAATAACCACATTAAACCTTCTCATATTGTATGAATTGTCAGGTTTAAATGATTCTTTTTTTAAAACAATTGTCTATCTCTTGCTTCTTGCAGTTTGTTAAAATGCTATGTCAATTTACAGTGACTGGGGGAATTTGACACAGAAATTTTAGAGGGGGAAGGAGCTAATCATTGGTTTACCTAGCATGAGTGCTCAAGTGCACATGAAGAAAATTAACTAATTCAAAATTTAAATGAAAAATTCTATTCACGAGTGGAATTGCCAAAGTTTAAGTTGAAAAACCTTTGGTTCTTGAGTTCTAAGGAGTGTAAAAACTGTTGGTAAACTTGTTGAATAGCTCAAATATTATTTTTATTAAGACAAATGACAACGTATGTGTTTTAGAGTACTAGTTAGTGCTTATGAAACACAATTCTGCATTGAAATAGATGGGAAACAGTGTTGTCCTCTGGTAGTTTTTGAGGTTCAGCCTTGAAGTGTTTCCGGTATGACTGAGAATCCCAATGCAATGAACTCTTGTATTCTTTAGGTATAATATTGTTTTTCTGACATAAGATATACTCCTTGGATTAAATATTTCCCCCTAATGCCTAAAATAAAATGAAGAAGTAATTGTGCTCTTCCATGCTCCTAATATTTAGTAACCTTCAAGGGCTGTGAGTCTATTATTTCCTTTTATAGGTTGTACAAGATAGAGAATCCATTCCTTCCTCTACCATGTATATAAATGCAAAGGACAGTGAAGTGTAGCTCAGTGAATGTAGAATATTTCTGCCTTAGTCTCTTACCTGTGTGCCTAAGCAAAGAACTGGTTTAATGCAAATATGAAATAAACTGTGTGACATTGCAACTAGGTTAGAAGCCCATTGCGCTGGGTTCTGTAAAAATGCAGAATAGTGGTCAGAGACTGTCCCAGAGTACTTTTAATAGTCAAGACAGAATGGGGCAGGTGATCACCATTTTACAGGTGAAGAATTGAGGCATAGGGAGAATAGTCTAACTTTCAGGTATGCCTACAACTTTTGGACACCCGATTGAAAGGAGACATCTGAAATAGATGAGCAATTAACATGAAACAAGTCCTATTAGAATTACCTAAGAGGAGGCATTTCAAGCATGGGTTACCTTTTAAAATATAGCACTGAACACTAGAGGCAGTTCCTGAAAAAAATTTCAAAACCGTCTACTGTTGATTACATGCCACCTCTAAAAAGTCAAGCCGTAAGTGATTTGTCCAGGATCACAGTGTTACGAAGTGATCTGCAGTAAAACATCAGTGATATGTGACAGGACAAGCAGAAGCTTCCATCATGTTATTTATAATAAAGTTTAAGGAGAGGACGTAAAGTATGTAACCTGTTGAATGTATGCTTTTCAGGTGTTCAAAGCTATGAATATTCCTCAGATCAGAAACCCTTCCTTACCTCCTCTAGAAGATATGCCTGAAGCCTATCACATGAAGATAGCTCTCCTTGGTGCAGGACCTGCAAGTTTAAGTTGTGCTTCCTTTTTGGCTCGATTGGGCTATTCGAACATCACCATATTTGAAAAGCAGGAGTATGTTGGTGGCTTAAGGTAAAAAACAATGACAACAAAGTACTTTTTCCAATGATTGTAGAAAGCATAGCAAGAACTATTGTGTGAATGTGGTTTATGCACTATCCCTTTACCTTTACCAAAGGAAGAGAGTAGAAAATTTCAGATCTGGTTCACTTTTTTTTTTTTTAATTGAAATAATTCATTATTGAAGTTAAAATAGGTACAGCTACAGGCAAGCTTTAAGAACCTGGTGGCTATCTCCTATATTTTCTTCATATGACCTCTAAAATTCCAGGGTGCAATTGTTATCAAATAAACACTTCAGAACATTATGTCAGGAACCATTTTCCCTTATTCAAAAATTTTTAAAAGATGGTGAAGTACATGTAGCCCTGCATAGTGAAAGAACTAGTAGATGTTTAAAATGCTTTCGACAGAAACTAAATTGATGGAGAATTTAAAATTCAGAATGCTTTCCTCAACTACGTTATGCAAATAGAGGTGACGGTGAATAAATCCATTTTGTACACCTGGACTTGCAGCTTTAGTAAACCATACCATAAGACTGAAATAAACCCCCTACAAGTCTCAACTGTCAACAAATTGCGAATACACAAAGGAAGGTACCTTTGCAGTTTTCCAGTGTGGTTAACACTTGGCTGATATTTGCATGGTATCACGTTCTCTATGCTAGACGATGAATTTTTACCACTGTACAGTTTCTGAGATTGTGTCTTACAAGTATAAGATAAAATATTTCAGAAACTGACTAGTGGATACCAACTCATTCAAAATCAAAGTTAAATTGTACATGTTAAGACCTACTTACACTAAAGTGTTTATAAAATAACAACTGAAAACAAAAAGAGAAACAAGGGCGATGCACTCATATTTCTCATCGCAGCATCACCGAAATCGATAGAGTTGATACTGTTAATTAATTTGATCCATAATGTCATAATGTGAAATACTTATTCAGTGCTCTGGAAGATAGAGAATCAATGCTGGAGAAGTTGAACTGATTACTTGCATTTTCCCCAGTGAGGTTCAGAAGTATTCTACCTATTTATCAAGGTATTAATACATAGGCATTTAACATGGAGCTGTTTTGCTTGAACTGGTTGCCACAGAGAACTGCAATTTTAGTATATGAAATACCTATTCACCTGTTGAGTTGCACATGTTTTTGTAAGTACCAGGTTTAAAATCTGTTTTGTTGCTGTAAATTACTAAGAAATAATGAGATTTTTTTTTAGCAATGAAATTTTACTTGGTGACAGGTTAGAATCATGGTGGACTCAGCAATACAATGCAGTACTTTCTGCAGTTGCTTACAGTGCTTACAGTACAATGTTGCAGTTGATTACTATGTGCTTGAATATTTGGAGCAATGTGATCTTAAGCTGCATCTGTTCTTCATGTTTTAAGTTGAATTTAAAAAAAAGCTTAGCCTGTTGTTTGTTCTACTGCAAAAAGCCTTACACTAAGTTTTGCCTGTTCTGTTAGTATCCTTAATGGTTAAAGAGTACATTTTAAAATGTATTTCTTGCTTTTGAGTCTTAAAGAACACATAGCAATGTTGTGGTTTAATCCCAGCCAGCAACTAAGCACCAGACAGCTGCTTGCTTACTCTTCCCCTCTCCTACCCTGTGGGATGGGAAGGAGAATGAGAAAAAGTAAAATCTTGTGGATTGAGATAAATAAAGTTTAACAAGAAAGTAAAGGAAGGGATAATAATAATAGTAATAATTATATATATAGAGATACACAAAACAAGTGATGCAGAAATGCAATTGCTCACCATGCAATGAACAATACCCAGCCTGTCCCCGGTCAGCAATTGCTGCCCCCCAGCCAACTCTCCCAGCTTATATACTGTGCATGACATCATAAGGAATAGAATACCCCTTTGGCCAGTTTGCATCAGCTGTCCTAGCTGTGTCCCCTCAAACCCTGAGATGCTGGAAACATCACCTGCACGGGTCTTCTCCTCCAAACCAGGACAAGCACTCAAGGTCAAATTTTACTTCCATTCATTGTAGAAAGTTTCACACCTGGTTTATGGGCATCAATTCCTTTTATCCTTATTTTAATTTTGGAACAGAAGAGAGGCTGGCCTGTGGCAGCGATCACCCATTATTGCATTTGTAAGTCTTTGCACTACATGTAACAAGTTTACGTTGTTGATGGGTGTGTTGTCAAGGCTTCATAAACTATGGCAAAGGCTAACAAGACCAAATTAATTTTGAATTTGGAATCAGCTGTTTGGAAGGGCAGTGCTTGTGCCCTTTTTCAGTTTGCTCTGCCTTTTTTAAAATGTTTTTACCTAGGGTGTTCCTTCAAACACAAGTTGCCTGATAGCTAAATTTAATAATATTGTGACAATAGAAAGGTGTCTATTAATTGCGGTTCCTGTGATGTGATATTTAAGCATAGCGTAAGTCTGTGGTTATCTGAACATGTCTGAATTTTTCACTTTCACAGGCAGGTTTTCCCAGATTTCACCAGTTGTGTAAAATATGTGCTTTATAGTAAGTCATGCTCTTGCTTAGAGACTGTGATCAAGCTTCACTGTTCATTCTTCTATGCCACTGGTTTACAACAGAACAAAATATTTCTCTCACTAGGCCAAAGGGGTTTCCCTTGAGCAAAACTAATGTGGGTTCACTGAGAAATGCCAGGCACCTGTCCAAGCACCTCTAACTTGGATCAGATTTGAGTAAGAGGTGAATTTGTGGCACACTGTTCCACCCACTGTATCCCTCCTGCACCTCTGCCCCATTTCCTTCTTCCCCCTCTGTCTCTTCGTTGCAGAGTCAGAGACTGTCTTCTGCTGCTGAAAGAAATTGTATCAGAATTATTTATGTCCCAGTAGACTTTCATAAGATGCTTATTTTCATGGTAAATGTGCATGTATGTGTCCCCACAGAACTGTGCATATTTATATAGGAACATATATGTACAGTTATATGTACATGTATGTGGGTAGTCCACTGCACAGAACTGTAAGTAAACATTTAATAAGAGAAAATAAATGTTTACAAATTCTGACAGTGACATAACACAGCCAATACTGTTCTGGGTTCTTCTAAGAGTCATGGAAATGACAGACCTTCAACAAGTATATAGGTGGCTTGGGAAACAGAACTTTCATTTTTATATTAGATTTCTTTATTGAATCTCTGTTGCAAAATCATACTGACACATTAATTTCTGCCTCAGACACCTTTTTACTTAGCATGGCCTATGGAAGTTGTATTGTCATGACTCGTTCATTATATCTGATATATTTAGAACACTTCATTGTACACTGGTCAGGAAAGGTGAAGACATGGCAGTGTTAGAAATGATAAGGAGGAACACCAGTTTCTTATCAATATAATTAAAGTTGATACAACGTAAAATAAATAAAATCCTTCTGGCCTGACAAAGTTAGATGGTAAAGATGGTGTGGTCACTAACAATATGTAAAATAAAGCCACAGTGAATCTCTTGTGCCAGTGCGTTGTTATGGAAATGGTGGAACCATTAATTTGAAAACGGATTAGACTGAAGCTTAGAAATGTCTGGGGAGAGACTTTCACTTTTCTGCTTACTCAGTTTTTTTTATCTTCGTTGAACAAAAGTATCTAGAATAGAACTACACTGTGTTTACCTGTAATGTGTTTTATGTCATGGATTTTGAACTGGCATAAGTAGATGTCATTTTATTGGAGATAAAAAATCTGTACTGGTAGATATAAATTGAGATTCTGCAGTTTTCCATGAAGGAGATGAAGATGTCATTTCTAATGTTCCCCAAAAGGAAGAAAATGCCAGCTAATAAACGTGAAGTCAAAAAGCAGACTTTAGACCAAGAGCTGATAGAAAATTACTGACTTTGTCCATGCTGAAAGATCATACAAAATTATGAAGTAGAAATGGAGGAAGGTACAGTTTTAAATATCATTGCCCAAAATAGCATATGCAACACTTTTTTAAAAAATGTATGGGAAATTTGATTCTTTCTTATTGAATAGCTTAGTGAATGATTGCTGGAAGGTCACTGTGCTTTTAGTAGCCAGGAGATCTTTTCTTAAATGGGTGTCTTAAGTTTGTTTAGTGTTACACATTTTGGTGAAAAAAAGGAATGGAGCTAAAACTCTTTTGTACCTCAACTTGACATATGTTAAATGGTTACCTGCAAGTTGTGGGCAGGATTGGCCTCAAGGTACTGCCTTCCTGGCCTAAGTTTTTAGCATTGGGTGAATAATGCTGTTTTGTCACTCTAACAATTTAAAAAAGCTGAAGTCAATCTTCAGCACTTTTCCAAATTTCCAAAATTAACTAAGGTGTGTTACAATTACTGAATTTTTAACAAATAAAAAATGCTTTCTTCCAAACAACTGTTGGTATTTCACAAGCGTTTTCATTTGTTTTAGTACATCTGAAATCCCTCAGTTCCGATTGCCATATGATGTAGTGAATTTTGAAGCTGAACTTATGAAGGATCTTGGAGTGAAGGTAATGAAAAATATATCCTGCCTATATATAGCTCAAAGAAAAAAGAACAAGAACTCTGCCAAACATTAGCAGCAAAATGTCATGCACATTAGTAAAGAACAATTAAAAGCTACGCTAGACAGAGGCAGGAAGATGCTTCCTCTTGCTCAGGGCATTTGTCTGTCTCCTGTCTGAATGCCACTAGTTTGGAAAAGGGCAATCAATAGTTCTCATCTGGCATGCCTGCATGTGATTAATTGTCTGTAAGAAACAAATTCCTAAATTGCTTTAGGGGTTCAATGTAGCTATTGGAATGATTTGATTTTTTTTAATCGAGTTTTTTTCATGCAAGTTTGGCACTACTTAAAACATTCTTATTTGCTACTTCTCTGTTCATTTCCACTCCCTGAGTTTTTTCTTAATGGTGTATGATACAGTCTTGCATCCAAGTTAATTTTATAATAAAATGCACCAAATTAAACAAAGCGTTAACATGATCATCCATTATAAACAATAACAGTCATTCAACTTCTTGGAAAGTAATACTAATGCATTATTCTGTTAAACAAATATGTGTTTTTCACAGATAATGGGAACATTGCTTTATTGTTAATTTAGGGCTTGAGCTGAAGATTTAGATCGTATTTACAACTGCTGCACGTTTTAATAGAAGTTACAAATGTGGAATGCATCACTGGATCAAGTTTTTGAGTGCCAGGAGGGATAATATGTTTTTAACATCATACTAAAGCGTTCAGTGAAGCAAGAAATTCTTCTTGGAATCTTTCATGTTGGTTCGTATTGTAAAAGCAGTAGACTGTTGTCATAAGACCCAAGTGAGAACCTCATCCTGCCCAGGTTTTATAAAAGTGCTGGTAAGATGTAAAATAAGGCTTTAAATGCCACAGATCTATTTTTCTACTCTAAATATCCCTTTGCAACCCTTGAAAAGACTGACAAAATAGAGGTTGAGATAGGGATGGGGCTAAAAACAGGGCACTCGGACAATTTTAGATAAAATTGCTGGGCGTAGGCTCCTGGGAACCCTCTGCAAAACTCAGTTCCTCAGGGCTCCCTGCTATGACAAGGTCTCCAGAATGGACTGATAGAGCCACCAAATCATCTTTACCTGCAAGTCCTCTGCAGGGTTGAAGTGCAGCAGAGAATCTCAATGTAAATTTGCTTCCAAGCTCTGCCACTGGTTTGCGATTGACCCTTTGGCAAGCTGGTTAACTGGGTACCTTAGCTTTATACCTCTATAAGCTGGACATACTTTCTGGTGTTTACTTAAAGCATTTCAAATTTGTGGTGGAAGGTGCTGTATTGTGTAAATGCTCCGTAGTGCTGTTTATTCAAGTAATTCTACTGAAATTAGTAAGAATTAGTCAGCTGAACAAGGATTACAGAGCTAGGCCCTAGGAGTATTATGAATCCCCACATAAAACAGTATTGCCATTTAAATTCCTTCATTAGGTTTTCATAACATATGTACACAATAGGATAAAAAAAAGTAATGACAATTTATGGAATGTATTTTGTTGGCAGTGAGCATCTAGTCTGTATTCTTGAAAGGATTACAACTGTATATGGCTTTTGTACCTCTGATAACATCTATACTAAATCTCCAAAGACAAAAAAAAGTCAGCATTCTAAGTATTGTACATTGTATTATACATCAGACTTCTTTTTCACCAATAAGAAAAGTGTATTAAATGGAATATAGGCAGATGCAATAGCAAACAAGATATACAATGAATGCAATGATATACAAGACTAAACTGTTAAGGTTGCAAAGTATAGCACTTATACAATAGAGCGTGGCATCTTGTAAAGTGAATACGGAAGTGATATAATAAAAACTGGGGGAAAACATTCATATTCAGAGATTCTAAAGTATGGAGATAAAACCACAGGTACCTATGTCAAGAAGTAGAAAATATCAGAGGAGGAGTCACACACATTTTATGCACTCAGAAGCCTTGGAGTTATGAGCAAAAGGTATGTGTGTCTTCAGTTGCGTGACCTCTACACAGGAGACTGTGGTAGTTGGTTTGCTGAACACGTGGCACTTTCCTGTCTTGTAACAATTATAGTTACTCAGCCTGTGCAGTGGCTGCTCAAAGCAGGATTGCTGGTGCAACATTGGTTGGTGCATAGTCTACAAAGATTTTTCAGCTTTTGCTTCTGGAGGTGACTAGTAGTTGAACTGAAACAAGTATAGATTATAGGTGCATTTTGATTACTGTGACTTATTACTTTCAATAAATGAGCACCAATCACTGCACTCTGGACATTGTTGCTTGTCTAAATTAGAATTAATAATTGCAAGTTTAAATCAAAATTGATCTCATTCATAACTTTGAAAACCTTTGTTAGTTTACTATGCAGAACAGTCTGCTTCATTATGTGCAAATAGGGCATGCTGTAATTTGCACAGAATATTCTTCAGACTCCGTCTCTGGCCCAGTGTTTTGCAGGCAGGTTTTCTGAATCCACAAAAACATCATTGGCTTCACTTGAGGGTTTTTGACATAGAGGTGTCCTAGCTAGTGGTCTCAGTGCAAAATTCAGGCTGTGAGCCTTGAGAGCGCAGCACAAAGCAATACCACCTTTCCTTTGGGACTGGCGTTGCATTCTGCACAATTGGAGGCCTACCAAGTGCCTGATACTGTGTGGGAAAACATTGCTTCGTTTTCTGTTCAGAACCCCTGTTGATACTGAATACTGTCATGTCTTTTATTTTCTTTATTTCTCTATAAGAGGCTCATACTTTCACTAACGTTTCTGCAATAACCTAAGCTGCTTGCTTTATTGGTTGGTGTGCTGGGTGATCCATTTAGCGCACATTCCCTAAAGGAGAGTCTTGCTTTGACATCATGTTTCTTAAATTCTGATTTTCATGTGGGAATACAACCTCTTGTAGTCAGCACTGAATACAGCGATTTACTTACAGTAGAAAACTGCTGTTTTCAGCTTTGCTTCAGTATTGTATTCCATACACAGGCTTCATTTGTTTGTTTATCTTGCTTTAACTCTTTTAGCTTACAGCAGAAACCAAGCTAGCCCATGGTGGCTCCCATCTGAGAATAGTCTGAAGGTACTTTTTACCAGGATCTAGTTTGGGCCACTTGCTTCAATTCGAGCCAAACTGGCTTTTTAAACCTGGCTTGCGCGAGGAGGGGAAAATAAATTTGCTTTGTTCACGAGAAGATCCTGTGAGATGTCTGTATGCAGGACACGATAGAAAGTATTTTCAAGTTATCACATTAAAAGCAAGTAATCTTTAATTCTTTCAGATAATTTTTAGTAAAGGCCTTGCAATGGATGGGATGACACTCCCTACCTTGAAAGAAGATGGCTATGAAGTGGTCTTTATTGGAATAGGTAAGAAGAGCTCACTGTCCTGTGTTTTGTCATCCTGAAATTGAATGACTGTCTAAGAATAAACTGTAACTGTAAACACTGTATCTGTGTTAAAAGCATGATGTGAGACAGCTTCAATTTGATGCATTATGAAGTATGGAATATAAGGAAAATTAAACAGGAAGCTAAACTAGCTGTCAAGACAGTTACTTGTTAAAATTGTCACATTTATAGGATAGATTTTTAAGCAAGATGAGAATGTAGCTGAATGTTTGTTTAAATAGTTAAAAAATGGATGAACTACAAAATTACTGGCAATTAATTGCCATATTGGCCTAGGGTGATACACAAGTTCAGTTTTCAATTTTTGCAAAGAGCTTACTCATACCCACTAATTACTGAGTCTTATATGTAAGCCAGTGATACCATGCTTGGTTGCTTTTTTGCTTTCCTCCATAAAAAACATGTGAAATCCTTCAGAAGGGCTGTAGTGAAATGTAATTATGGGATGAGTTAACAAAATAAGCATGCTTTGACTTAACCTAAAAATGGCATCATAGGTCTGTCTTCTCTTCTATGCTAAAGAAGTCCTGCACCTGCCTGGTGTCTGAATCATTGCTTCTTTTTAACGTTAGATTAGAATTGTTATCCATTTGCAAGTATTTTGAAGTACAGCTGGACCCATCGCTGCCATATGATAGGCATGTTGAGCAGGCATTGTCTACAGTTGGTTTGAGGCTTAATGCTCTTTATTGATCTAGACGTTGCCTAAGTGAACATAATAGGAAACAAGTTGTCCAACTGTTCCTCCTTCCTATTATTGATTACAGAGATGTAATTCTTAGTACAGCGACAACTGTTGTTTACCATCTGGATATGCAGTATAATAAGCTCTGCAGGTCTATTCTGCCATGTGATTATAGTACAGAGCATTGCAATTTATGTAATCCTAAATCCTCACATTGTTAGTGACCTTCCATGTATAGGAATTCTGTTGTGTCATATTTTGGTATAATTACATACAAGGCAACAGTCCAACTTATCTTCTTTAGTGTTTTAATCTATGTCTTTCAAACTGCTTTGTAAAAATCTCACCAATGAGCGATTAATTCATAAATAAACATTTGTTTTCTGAGAGTGTAGCATTTAGGAAAAAGTTATCAGTCATTTTTGGAATATCAGCATGATAACCCTGCATTTCTGACTCAGAAATTTAAAATAGTAGTTCAGTTAAAGGTTAGCAAATATAGTGATTGAGAACTACACATAGGATGGAATGTTTGATTTATGTCTGTGGGTTTATTTTCTGACCTTAATAAAGTTATCCTAATATAAAATATTTTTGGTTAGAAATATATATAGACAACATTGTGCCATAGAGACGCTGTGTAAAGAGATACAGCTAGAATTTTAATAAACAAGAGAAGGTATCTGAAGCATAATTCTCCTGTAAACCATGTGTTCATGGATTGTATTAGGAAACGGAGGGTATAAAGTTCCTACAAAGTTTTGTAACTGGAAGCTGCCTTGCATTCATGATGAAGTTGGTCCCTCTCTGTGCCTCCATGTCTGCCTGTCATCTCTCTTTTACAGTGCTGTGTTAGACATTGGACAGTAATGTGGCCTTGCACACTGGTAGTGAAAGATGGAGGACAAACTAAGGCGTTACAGATTTCTGGGGTTAGCTATATTAATGCAATAGAGCATTTATAAACTCAGCAACAGCAGTTTTTCCATAATGAGTCTGTACTGTATTTCTTTTTGTGTTCTTTGCCTACTGAACAAATATATATTCAATGAAATATCACATTTGAACATTACCCTGAATCATGGGAGTAAAATAAGTAGAGAACCCTGCTTACATAAAATAGAAGATTTTTTTTTTTAAAGGTGGTTGTAATTTGCTTCTGAATTAATCTGTACCTCAATGGAAAATAAACGTGGTAGTTTTCAATTTTCTGTATTAGTGGAAGAAATAAAAATGAATGCTTGTGTAAGAGAAGATGAAGACCCTGATGAGATGAGGGAGTACACTGTGAGAGAATTTTTTCATAGCCATGTGATGTTTGAAGAGCACAGCTTTAGTCTTGCAAATGAGATGGAACTCAAGAATTTATCAGTCAGGATTGTAGAAGAGTCCATGTGTGATTCATGAAATAGAAGAGCATTTGTAAATAGCCAGCTACATGAGGGCAGTTGGAGATGCGAAGAGAACTTTGAAAGCTATTTTCCACACAGTTATGCATCAGGAGAAGTCTATTGCTCTGTAGGAATGTCGCATGAAGTAGGGAAATTATGTTCCTCATCTGGGTCTATGGAAGGTACAGCACAGGTGACTGAGTCTGATCACTTCTAGCAAGTGACCATATTGAAGAAAAATGAATAGCAAAGGCTTTCTGTGAGAGCTCTTTGGAAAGGTATTAGAAGAGTGCTCTAGTCAACGTATTTGCTCTGTTTCAGACCTGAAGGGTAAAGTATTCCCAAGAAGTTCACAAAGTGATACAGGTTAACAGCCTTACTCTAAAATAAATAATAAGAAAAAAGATACTTAGCTTCAAGTCTTTGCTTACTGAGGCATTGAGACTATGATGTTTTATCTTAAGGTGAAAGACTCGCTGCAGCCAGTAGGTCTGGTGCATTTAGGTCACTGCTTAAAGCTCAGAAAAACATCTTGTACTAGACCTGAAAACTAGCAGATGGCCAGTAGGTGTCACCAACCTTTGGCAACTTCTGGGGTCTCAATTTGAGTCACACCTTACCTCCATACTATTTTATTTTCCACCATCTTTCCCAGTTAGGCTGTGGCTGTGTGTATAACATTGTAGAGACTGATGTGGAACTTGGGGTTACAAAGATACATGCTGAACTAGCAAAGACTGGATCCAAGGAAAAGCTTTCATAGTTACCTGGATAAGCGGTAATGAAAGAGATCAGTCTGGACTAAGGCACAGTGGAAGCCAACACTACCCTCGGGTAGCAGAACCTCAGAACAAATGGTAGGTGAATCTCAGTCACAGGATTGCCTGTTACCAGTTTTGCCTTTGATAGTTCTTTCCTTAAATCTCCTGGTTTTTGCTTACCTGAACTCTGTTTCATCCAAGAAGTTCCTTATGTGGTACTTCTGTTTCTTTCTAGAGGATCAGTATGTGAATTGCCTCTTCCCTGTCCATCATTTACTCTCATGGCCTCTCAGTTTTGTCTCTACAAAGACGTATATTTTGCAACATCTGGCAATAAATGTATCTTGCATTTTGTATACAAGGACCTAAGAGATAGACCATTCTCCTGATTTCAAATTACAGCAAACATAAATATTAAAGGATAGTCCATGGATCTCGGTTTCTTACATCAAAAGTAATGATAGACAATAGCACACATGAGATCTTTTTCACAGGACTAAAAGGCAGCAGCCAAACAAAGGAAGGAACAAATATATTAAATTAATATTAAATATGTTCTGGGAGTCTCTACTATTTTTTTTAGTTCTCTTTTCATTGTCATTTAGTTTGGTGCAATTTTTAAACTTATTCAGTCTTATTTCAGTGGACAGTTAAAATGCTGATTAAGAATTGGAGGTGTAGAATAGAGTCCTTAAAATTTTAATTTTAAAATTCTGTTTTATCTTCCAGTTACAAGTCTCTTGGTTTTATTTGGTTATTCATAATCATTGATGAATAGGAATTAAATCTCCCAATTGAACTTTCACAGTTATAAACTAATCTCTAAAACTGCGCATAGAAAAAAAAAAATCAGCTCTGCTTTTTACTAAGAAGTGTTTGTGAAGGATTTGTGATTGAGCTGACAAATAATTTTGAAAATTTTGCTGTTGAAAAAAAGAGTCTTGCATCAGTTGCTGCCTTTTTAAAACACCATAGAGACTCCCCCGTAACAGAGAATCGGCATGCTGAGAGCAAAAGGAGAAATCAATGATGGTGTGAGGGGCTAGAGGAGAGAGCACATGGTCCTCAGAGATGGCAAAGTAAGGCAGCGAAGAGTATCTTACAGAGAACAGGGTAATCTGAATGCTTTGTGTTCCTGTGTCTCTAGGTTGATTTTCAGGATAGAATACTTAGGATTTTTCCAAAAAATGTCTATGTGTATGTGTCTCACTTGGCTGTAAGAGAAAATGCAGAAATACTAGGCTTTTATTACTCATTGTTTTTGAAGTTCAGCTACATTCTTTGGAAAACAGGATTCTGTGGTTCTGTCTTTTTAAGACTCCACATTTGTATATGCATTATATATTCTTTTTGAAACAGAAAGTACAAACCAATTTTTTTATGAAACTGTTTACTTGAATGAAAATGAATGACTTAAATATTTAAAGTGTATAGGGACATGTTTCATGTGACAGTCAAACAAATATGTAGAAAGGCTGTCACCAAAAACATATTTTCTGCAGACTTTTACACAAACCTCTGTCCTTATTCTGTAACATTTCATCATAACATAGGGGTTTTATGTAACATTTACATTCTTTTTATATAAAGTTTGGATAAAATATATCTTGAAAGAAAGTTTTATTTGATAAATTATTAAAAAAAAAAAATCTTAAGTCCCCATTCCCAGAAGTTGCTTAGTAGCTTTAACTTTAGTGACAGTAGGCTTAAACTTGCGGCACTAACTTTCTGGTTAACTTCTTATTATAGGGCAAACACAGCTAGTAATGAAGCTTTCTTGTTTCTTCCTCCATCTTGTGATGTTGCATTGCTATAAAGTCAGTTTTATTGTATTAGAGTATTCAGAAGTTCTATTAAATACTGCGAAATGGTAAGTTAGATGAGCGTACCAGAGTAAATCTAAGTAGATTGTTGCTTGGATGTATCCTAAATAGTATATCCTGCTTGCAAGGGTTAAAACCGTACATTAGAAAGAAAAAAAAAGTGAAATCCCTCGTGGAAAGAGCCTCTGTGATAATTGCAGTCATTCATAGTGAATTAACATAGCATTCAAACAATAATATAATCAGATGATTCTATTGATTGGAATGAAATTACACACTAAAAAAAGAAATTAAAAGT